GGAATTATAACAAGCACAAAATGGTTACGAGGTCGGTCCAAGGGACTGAACCCGTGCTGAAAGAGTTAAAGAGGATAGTGCTAATACCTTTTTATTTCAAATGTGTGCAATAAATAAATTGGATATATTATGGTAATAATAATTTGTGGTTTTAATCACAATCTGTCTTTGTCTGAATAACTTTATAATCATTGAATTTCATGTAATCCTACTGTCACCACTTCTTAATCTATTAAAAGATCTTGGTGAAGATTTCCAGAGCTAAAGTATAAAATTATGTTGTCTCTGCTGAAACCATATCTAATATGTTGCTGTGTTTGTATACTATATCACACTGCCTGTTTCAACATATTTTTACTACCAGGTATTTTACATGATGATTAAAATGATCAGAAATAAAATAACATCCAGAAAGTGAGTAATATGTTGTAATACACATTTTACGAAATGTGAACTATTGAATTAACCTTTTCCAACTGAGTGGCCATTTTTTCATTTGCATTAAAAAAAATTAATAAATTGTAAACTTCACCATATTTAAAACTTGGACACTTCAAACATAGAAATATGTGTTAGCCGTTTAAACTTCTTGAATATATATTAATGTTTTTTTTTGAGGGGGGGGATTAATGATTTTTAATAAAATAGAAACTGCTTTGTAACTCTACTATGCAGTGTGTCTTTAACAGTAAAAGACTTTTATTCTACAGAATAAAGTTTTTGTGACTCAGATTCATTGGTTGTTTTTATTTTATTCCAAAAAAATTTATGCATTTTTGAAACAATAAAATCATAGGCCTACTGATGTCATGCAGTAGTCTACTTTGTTAGAAGAAATTTTGCAATAAAATATTTATCATTAAAAGTAGTAAAAAAAAATAACAGTATTCTGTTTAACTCTTAAAGATGTTCAAAAAAGTATTCTATCCAAAATACTTGTGTAATGATAATCGTTTTGACACATTCATGTGTTCTTTTCAGTCTGTTATCTTCTAAGAAAGAAATTAATCAGTGCAGATTACTTGAGGAAAGCGGTTAGGAGAAATTCACTTTAAAAAACTGACTTCTAGGTGTTACAATTTGGCAAGCTTTTGATAAATGAACTTTTGAGAATTATGTTTATGTAATTTTCAGTTTTATTATTTTAGTCTTTTTTTTTCAGTCAATTTGATTGTTAAAATGCCTCAATTGTAGAAAAATAACATTGTTTATATTGCAGTTTTTAATCACCCTTTAGTGTTCAGTGTCACCCATGTAAACAAAATGACAAGATACAATATGAACACAGTGTTTTATCTCCTACAGTGGATGTATTTGAAGTTAAACTTTTTGTAGGTTCTTTGGGATGTTTTTTTTAATGACTTGAAAATTATTATTTATTGTATTTTCTTGAAGGGCTCAATTTTTGTATTGTGGGTTACACTTATCTTTCATTGTTTTAGTTTGGTGGGAGCTTTTCCTTGCTCTTTAGATCACCATTTTCAATTAATACTGTTGGGTATTGTAATTGCTTAAAAATAGTAAAGATGTTTTTAATAACTTTATTGATGTCATGGGATGACATATTCTGCAGGGTATTAATGTGTAGTGCAAGTTTTATGACATAAAAATGGACATGGCTTAGCCTGTTCCAAACTTTATAACAGTATGTAATTGTTGTGGCATGGTAAACTACCTTGCAACATGGCTATATACCAGTGATATGACCAAGAAGGTCATGAATCAGAAGAATTCTAGACTTGATGCAAAAAAGTGTGGAGGCAAGCATAACTTCTATAACTTCTGTGCTTGCCAGCAAACATTGAAATTACAACAGAAATTTTCACAATTTCATGATAATATGAAGAAAAAGTGCATATAACTTGGAGGGTTTGTTGGTTTCTGGTAGATAGTGAAGACAGATTTTGTGCCTTTTTTAACTATAAAAATACTTAAGAAAGAATAGGAGTGACTTGTCCATTTCTCATATATATATATATATATACTTCTTTAGTTAACATTCTGTTAGAATTGTATGCTATTCAGATTTAGTTTGTTTTGGGATGTGTTGAAGTTCCCCTTATTTTTATAACTTAAAAAGAATCAAAAAGCCACGTGTCTTTGTTGAGTCTGTTGTATTATCACTTGAAACCCATTGGTATTTGTATTATAATTATTAATTACTACAAAGTTTATGAGTATTTGAAAGTTTTTATTGTTATGTGTATATAACTAAATAAATTTAATTATATTTTCAGGGTTCTTTAAACCTATTACGACAAGAACTGTTGTCCAACCTGATTCCTGTATTTTTAGGAAATCATTCCAATTCAGCAATAGTTCTACATTATGCTTGGCATGCTCAGGTACCAGATGTTTTCTATACTTTCATTGCAATATATTTTTGAAAGCAGATCTTATTTATAAATATGAGTGCTAAGAATAACTTTCAGTAATTATAATTTTTTAAGTGCTTGTGCTTGTAATTATATGCAACTTAATATGGCATTTTATGAACATCTTTTGTGTTGGAATATTTTGCTTTTACTTAAATGTTGTTCACAGATCCAAATGCTTGCCTGATGTTTATTATATACTTGCTCTTCATTGTTATTGCTTCCTCTAACAATGAATAATGTGACTAACTAAATACAGTATTCTAGCAATATAATTCCTGTCTAGGCTAATAATTTTCCGTATGAAATGAAATAGGTATTCATTATTTGATCATTTCACTTACTGCTACTTTGTTAGTTATGTTTGTTGTTATTTTATCATGAACCATGATAGTGGTTCATAATAGGGATGGCAAGGAATTCCACAAAACCCTAACAGAATGTTTGGCAAAACAGTAAAGATTCATTTCAAACAACACTTTAAAACCTTTACTATTGACTGCTAAGGCTGTACACACATAAAAATGCACAAGAAAAGCACATATTTTACACTTACAAGGAAAAGAAAATCCATTAAAAATAGCTTATTTGTAATTTTTCTTCTTACTACTATTATTCTATTGTCAGACTACAACAAAAACGGCTTGGTATATTGCACCCAAACTTTTTGTAGAATACAAAATAAGGTACTTCGAAGGTCGTAGGGGTATTGAAAAATCGATTTGTTTCTTCTATATTTTACACAAGCTAAAAGACATCATAATTCTAGTGTAGATGATATTATCATTACCCATTGAAGTGAGCTTTCTTAATAATATCTTTAAAAAGGTTAAGTACAGGGTGAAACAGGAATTACCAGCCAAAACAGATGAACATTAGATGACTGTAACATGTAGATATTCAATGCTTTGTACACTATACAGTTAGTGTCTTTAGGGAGCCAACCCTTATATTATGTATGAAGTAAAGGAGTAAATATTAAACTTCATTACACAGATTTGTAGAATAATTACTAAAGCAATGTTTAATATGTACATGTTTTATTTGAAAAGGCTGCTTTCCTACTGGAAAAATTTTATACATGCTTATTGGGGGTTGTGTCTTAACTCTCTCAACACAGGGTCAGTTAATTTGACTGAGTCACATGGCCTTTTGTACTCATTTAAAGGCTTTATAAATTTAATACTCATAACTCTCAATATATTGGGTATATCTTCACAAAATTTGTCAATCTTTAAGTTAATATTACAAGCTTTTTACATACAAAATAGATTTCTCCATGAATATATTGAGTATTTTTTTTCATGTTAAAATTAAAAATACTTTTTGTCATCTCAAAAATCTCATTCTCTTTGTGTAATCCTTAAAACCTCCTGAAGGCATTTTAAATGTTTTTTTTTCAATAAATCTTTATAGTTTATCTGTTATTTTCTCTACCCTATTTTAAAATGGGATTGGTCAATTCAACTGACCTCGTAACTATAAAAAAATTGAAATAAACCTAAATTAACCTTTTTTTTCTTTCTAGAATGACTTCAAATTATAACATGAAACTACATTTGTGTATCCTAAGTAGCTCTAAGTTCGTAACATTATACATCTATTTATAATTAAATTTTATTGTTTTATTGCCCTTTGAACCATGGCTAACTACTATTCGCTCCATTATAAGTTGAAAATCACTCTGGGAATGTGCAACTCATGTTACACAAACGAATTACATTACCAACGAGCTGCTCGTGGGCGTGCCTTGTGAACCATTTTACTTATATTATTATTATTATTACTTATTTTATCTAATCTAGTATTAAATAGCTTAAGATTCATATTTTATATTAGTTACTTTTATAATAATAAATAAAGAATAAATGTGAAAAACAAGAAATAAAGTGCTTACCCAATCTTCTTTTTTTCTTGCTGTCGATTGTCGAGAAGAGTTAAGCCTGATTTTGTATAGTAATTAAAGTAAAGCACTTAACAATTTTTATTTAATTAAATATTGCACCAAAGAATACAGACTAACGTGCAAAAAGTAGACAAATTCACTTACCTCTTAAAATTTTCTTGGCTTTCTAACTATGTGACACGAACCGTTACAAATTCATCCAAGCTAGTCGTTAACTTTCTACGGGAACGATGTTGCTACTCTGAGTAAAATTGATAATTATCTATTCAGAACACAACGTTATACAATATGTCATTTGATAGATGAAAACCTTGACTTT